ATTGCATTTAATTTACAATTTAAATTTCTTACATGATGCTATTGACTGAATTATGTCCTTCTAAAATTCTTAAGTTGAAGCCCTAACACCAAATGTGACTGCATTTGAAGACAGGGCCTACAAGAAAGTAAATAAGGTTAAAGGTCATAAGGGCGGGCTCTGATCAGATAGAATTCTAAGAAGTGACACAGGGGAGTGCTTTCTCTCTGTGTGTCTCTGTGTTCATGTGCCCAAGAAAGGCCATGTGAGCACACAGTGAGAAGGTGGCTGTCTACAAGCCAGTAAGACAGCCCTCGCCAGAAACAGAATTGTCTGGAACCTTGATCCTGGATTTTCCAGCCTCCAGAACTGTGAGAAAATATATTTCTGTTGTTAAAGTCACACATTCTATGGTATTTTTGTTATGGTAGTCCAGGCAGAAGAATACACATGGCATACAATTTCTTCTATCATCTGGTTTTTATTGTCTGCCCCAGACTAATCTATTACCATTCCCTTGCCTCTGAGCCATTGTACATGATAGTTGGGTGTGTGTCTTCGTATGTCTATCTTCTCCTTATGTGTTCAGCAAACTCCTACTCTTCTTCAAAATCGAACTCAGATAGGGTTGTGACCTTCTTATGTACTTCCATAATATCTTACAGCCACATCTATCATAAAAGTCATCATGCTGTACAGCAATTATCCATTTCCTTGTCTGTTTCCAGGAATAGATTCTTAGTAAAGGGGCCACTGTTTTAAACCTCTGAATCCCTCTCTGACTATGAGGAACATATTACATTTTTGAATAAATTATAATAGTCATAATATTTTTAGTTTAGAGAGCACTAGACAGGACTGTCTTCTGTCTGTGTCATTTGTCAGCTGTTACTCTAAAGGGATTATCTCTGTTTCTCTTCACGTGAATTTCTTATCTGTCAAATTAAAATAATGATATGATGATTGCAGATTATTGAAAGGATTAATTACAAAATAGCTAATGGCCATGGATAGTACCTAAGAATGCTCAGTAACAGCTGGTTGAATCCAAATCAAATCTATTAATCCTCTGAGGACCAATTCAATTCTACATTTGCAATAAGACCTGTATAAAGATTCATAAGCAGAATAAATTGTTCCCTCCTCTTTCCTTTCACAGATTTTGTTTACAGCTCAGTTACAGCGTTTATCTGAGTTTTCTTAACATTAAAGTAATGTATGCATGTATCTGCTTCCTCTCTGTTGGATAAGCCCAGTGGGCGGAGACCAGGTATTTTCCATCTTGCTACCTTCAACTACTTAAATGAGTGTCTCACGCATGGGAGGTGCACGTAGGCCTATGCAGAATGTGAGAAATACAACAATGCAATAGGTCCTGTTTGTTGTGCATTGTCTCTAACAGACTTCATATTTTTCAGAATATTCCTCACAGTTTAGTCTAAAACTATCAACTAGAGCTGGTCAATATGCTACCCATCTCTCCATTTCTGAGTTATTTGGGCTTTTATTGATTAGAATTGGCCTGTAAGCTATGATGCCTTGGTTAGGGTCCACTTTTGGACTTAGATGAGATTTGAACTCTAACGTGACTGAATTAGTCTATGCAGCAAGCCAATAAGAAAAAAAACATATCCTTCTTCCTCTTCCAGGTTTTGGTCTCCCACTACTGCCCCCTATTGTAGAACCTAACAAGGAGCTGGAAGGTAAAGGAGAAATGCTGTATGTGGAGTCCCGGCCCCAGCATCATAAGGCGGAATGTAGAAGAGAGTTTTAGCTGAGAGACGATGGCCTATTAACTGGCACGTTGATAGTTAACGAAAGTGAATGAATCTTCTATGTTGCGCAGTCCCTTAGCTGGTTCCATTTCAATCCAATGCTTTCAATCTATGAAAGTAAGGCTTTCATTGGTGCTGTACAGGGATGGAAGGATGTTAAACAATTTTCAATTTTGTCATCAAGCAGGTCAGCTTTTGTTTCCAACGAAGAGTGAATGGTCTACAAAATGAGTTTAAGAGTCTGTCTTTAAATAAATTATTTTAAAATAAAAGAGGCGATCAGGAAAAGGATTCTGGGAAGCAAAATTAAATCCTGGATTTCTACTGTTCGGTGGCAGAAGTGGTGTGAATCCTACCATTAGTGCCATTCCAGAGTGAAAACGGCTTCTATGTCAGAAAATTCACTGGTGCTAACTCTTTCTAATGAGAACAGTACTGGAGTGCTGAGTACAGCCCTGACAGTGAAGTGCGTTCGTCTGATACATGAATTGCTAGCACTATTCTGCTGACTCCCAGACACCACGTTCAAGGTGGCCTCAGCTAGTAAACAGGAGTGGAAAACATATCCTCACACATTTGCTTCATGCCTGGAAACAAGCAATTTAGGAAAAGACATCTGGACACAAAATTTGAACAGGACTCAGAGCCCATCAAAACATGGGTTTGATGGCTTGGCGTCTGGTTGCTAAGCAACACACTTCTTACATTCAAAACAGAATTGTAAAAGTAGAATCCTGGTGCCAACTCTGGGTATTTTTCATTGAAAAAGAAATAGTTATAAAAGTTTTTCTTTAGGCCTTAAGATATCTGATGTCCATGAAATAAAAGAGCACAGGTTATCTCTCCTTCAGCCTTCTTGTTTTCTACTTGCTGAAGTATTAGGCAGAGATTAACTTTAATTTTGAAGTACTCTCAATGAGTGCTACATAAGGGTCTTGAAATATTTTTCTCAGCCTCCTAATTAATAGCACTCTTTTAAATTAGATGCATATATGCATAATACACATGATTTTCAAATATTCAATTCTTATGGAATTAGATATTTATACTAGAAGGCCAACCACAAATGAGGTCTGCTTTACTAAAAGTATGCTTCTGCTTGGCAAGGAGGCCAGGGAGGGCCCGTGTAAAATATTTTCCATGTGTAGACCAGTTTGAAAAATCTATGTCATTATAATACTTATTAAAATTAAGATAGACCATTAATTTATTTCGTTCTTGCTTTTAAAACATGCTGATAAGTTTCAGAGTTTGGGAAAATGGGAATTATTAACTACCCAAACAAGAAACGAATCCAAAAAAAAACAAGAGACTGATCATTTAAAATCACTAACTAGTTTCCTTTTTGTAGAGGGTGGGGAAATAATTAGGAAAATTATGGGGCAGGAGGTAGGGAGTAATGGACCTGACATTAATTTTTATTTATTTTAAAATTATGAAATGTGTATTTGTATTAAAAAATGAAGGTGAACTATTAAAATGACCTACTCTTTGGAACAGTATGCCTACAAAAGTATTTTTTCCTCTTTCTTTAGAGAGCCTCCTTCCATAAACTCTCCAAAGACTCCTTCTTGGCAGCCTCTTGTGATGTAGCAAGGCAAGGAAACCCAGACATGGAAAGTTGCTTACAGAAAAAAAAAAAAGAGAGAAAAAAAATTTGGAAACCAAATAAGAAAGGGATAGTTTTACAGAACTTCACTTCATAGAGAAGGCTACAAAATGAATGTTCTACAGTTTCAAAGACTAATGTTGTGCAGAGGAATTAAAGGATGGCTTCCAGAAGGTCACTTAATGAGGAAAAAGATTTTCCGTTGTGCACAGCACTGAGCACTGCCCGGCTCTCCCTAAGCTGCCGCCCTTCGGTGTCTTTGTTTACATGTGGTTTACATTTGTGTCCACCCCATGAACCACAAGTGTTTCTCTACTCCAAATTTATCAACACTTTTCCTTCATACCAGGGGTGCCTTAGTAAAAATAGAAGAATTAGGTAGTGAAGCTGTGTGATTCTGGTCTCCTGCAATCCATCATTCCATTTCCTATCCTTGTTCTGTTTGCCTCATTTCGTACCATGATTTCACAAAATACTTCCAAGTTTGTAATCCCTCATCTGTTCTGGATGGGTCTCAAACTCTTAAAGAATGAGCTTTAAAAGTCAAATTCTTAGCAGGCATTTGAGAAGCACAATTTAAGACTGCCAATCCGAGTAAAGTTGTGAAAACTGAGGCTCAGAACTATGTTCATGCCGGGCCCAAAATCAACCCGGACTTTTTGTCTAAATGTCACACTGACGTGGTGGTCTGATGACTGTGTAAATAGATATTGTCTTCCTCCCAGAGCCTCTGGGCCTATAAGGATCCATTTCTTTCCCTTCCTGTAACTGTCTTTCTTAAAAGAGGGAAATCCTGGGAAAACATTCCTTCCTCGTGTCTTGACTCTTGGCCCAGACTTCTGCACTGGGGCTTCAGAAAGGTATTCATCCAGAACCCAAACATGCAAACTAGCTGTGACGCTTCCGCGGTGGTGGAGTTGGCATGGGCAGTGAAGTGACACATTGGTCAACTGGGCAAAGGAATTCTTAAGGAGCCTCACAAGTTTGTACCCTCGGCTGATTGGGTAACTATGTCCTCCCGACCCTCTTTCCTTCCCAGGAACTAAGGTTCCAAGGTGGACATGTAAGAACTCCATTAGAGATCCAGATTGGAAAAGGAGTCCTTGGGAAAGTCCTCCCTCCACTTGTATAGCAGGAGGCATTCACTAATAAGGAGTGGGCATTTACCGAAGGAGGTCATCAGAAAAAAGTGAGTGCTGTGAATGAACCATCAAGCAGTTTCTATTGGGTTGGACAGTTACATTTTTGGTTTCACTGGAAAGTAGAAGACCCGTGATTCCCAAGGCAATCTTGTTTTTCTTTTTTCCCATTTAACTATTACATTTTCCCAGGCATTCTAGTGCCTTCCTATCATGTTTATGTACTTATGCCACCATATCTCAGACTGGATGACATCCGGCATCACTCATTGCTGTTTGATTGCCTAAGCAGGGCTAGTCATTCAAGGCAAAATTTGCTGCTGGGGCTAATCTGAATACAGAAGCAGAGTTGAAGGCTGGCTGGGTTTCCCGCAAGAAGCAGTTAAACAAATCCATAGTGGCAGGTGGTTGGGGAAGAAGCAAAGCCATCAGCAAGACTGTCCCTTCCAACAACCTCCTTATCCCAGCGCTGGGACCACCCGTCCCAGCTGGACCTACCTCCCGAGTAAACAGGATGGCTGCATCGTAATGTTCCTCGTGGTCATCTCCCAGCTGGTTGTGCTGGTGCTGCCACTTGCAAAAGTTCTTGAGCGTAGTGGCTGCGTTCTTGCTCACTTCCAGGCTCTTGTCCTTGTCGCCTAGCACCACCACCTTCACCACCGCCAGGCGGATGTGGTTCTCGATACTGGCGTGGCTGTACAGCCGGTTGGCGATGGAAGCCAGCGTCATCAGGTAATGCTGCAGGCCCCGGCCGTACATCCGCGCCATGGACGCGTCAGCCACTAGGAGCAGCTCCACCTGGCGGGCCCGGGAGATGGAGCGGCGCCGCCGCCGCCACCACGTCTGCGGTCCTGGGTCCCCAGCGGGCGAGATAGCGGACCGGTCCAGGAGCTGCGGGGCCAGCGCTGTGCGTCGGCCCAGGCTACCGTGCGCCGGGGGGCGCTCTCGGGGCCCTGGAGGGGATGCAGGGGTCTCGCAACTGGCGCGCGGCGGTAGGGCCTCGAAGCTGAAGCCCTCACGGGTGTAGACGTGCAGGATCCGCGCAGACCCATCCCCGTAAACGCGCTCGGTTTCCGCCTGGGCCCCGGGCCCACGCAGCAGTGGCTTCAGGGTGTAGCGCGCGTGCTTGATCGCGAAGAAGCCGTCGAGACCCCCACAGAGGTCAAAGACAGCCAGGGAGCGGGGACTACCGTCCACTGTGCCCCTGTAGAAGCAGTGGCTCCGGTGGCGCCAGGACGCGCTCGGCCCGCCTCCTGCGGGCACGAAGCCAGAGGCGCCCACCGAACCATCCCGCTCCAGGTCCAGGAGGAACCTCCGGCCGCCCGCGTAGACGAGGTAGCCCACCTTGCCGCCGCCCGAGTAGAGTTGGTCGATGTTCTGCACGAGCCCGCTGCTCCTGCGCTGCTGCGCCAGGGGGTGCGGATGACCCGGAGTCTCGGCCAGCTCCTGCGCCTCCTCCCCCTGCCGCCAGCGGGGCTGGGCGGCCGCTGCAGCAGCCCGAGGCTGCCCGGCTTTATCCTGGGCAGGTGCGGCGGCGGGGCCGGCTGCGGCCAGGGGCAGGCGGAATGCGCACAACAGCAGGGACGCCCACCCGAGCAGCATAGTGCGCTGCCCGCGGGGAGGGGCTGCGCGACGGGGACTTTATGGGTATTTGTTATTCGCTAGGGAAGTTACCGGGGCGGGGGATGGGGGCACACGCGCGCGCACACGACACACACACACACACACACACACACACACACACACACACACACACACACACACTGTCTTGCTTGCAAGGTTGAGTCAAGTGTCGGAGGGCGGGAGGGAGACCCGGCAGCAGCGCCAGCCTGTCCCGGCCGCGGTGCCAGCGTGCGAACTTTTCTTTGTTGCTTTGGAAAATGTTTGGATTCGTGCTCCAGAGAGAGGAGGGGGGGAAAAAAGAAAAGAAAAAAGCCGGGTAGTGGAAATTCAGCAAATACGGGAAAAGGAGAAAAATCCAAAGGCAGCCACGATCGCTGCTCCAAGAAAAGTAAGAAAGGTACCGCGCACCCGGCCGGCAACTGGTGCGCGCTGCCTCCCGCCCCCCTGCTGCTGGGGACTCGCCGGCTGCGGAGGTCCCAAGCTCCCCGGCCCACTTCCTTTCTTATTTTGTGAGTTTCCTTGGCTCTGCTGGAACCAGGAGCAAGGGAAGAAAGAGAGGGAAAAAAGCCATAAAAATTAAAGCAAAAACGCAGGGGGCGGCCTGCGGCGAGCTGGTAAAGCGGCGCGTCCGTGTTCCTTTGGCTGCGGTGTCTTCCTACCCGCCGTCATCCCCAGTCGGCCGCTGCGAGCGCCGAGAGCAGCGCGAGCGCTGTGAAGATGCGAGGAGGTGGAACAATGAATTTATAGCGGCATGCCATCCTGCAATGGCAATTTCAACAATTCGTCACTGCACGCTGCCTCTTAAAGGGAGAGCTTCCCCCACCACTCCCACCCTTCCCCGTCCGCGCCTAATCAGATGGGGGAGGGCAAAAGGGGAGGGTGATCGAGGAAAGGGAGACGAGAAAGGAGGAAGGGACTGGGACCTGGAGAGGTGGAAGGAGGGACAAGGGAGGAAGCGAAGGCGAGGGGGAAAAAAGTATTTGGGCAAGAAAAACAGATCTTCTTGGCCTCATTTAAAGCCACAGCGACTCCGGGTCCGTCTGATATTTCACAACCAATTGGGTTTGGCTAACCTCGGCTTACCTCATGTCCTGAAGGAGTGTTTTGGTGTGTTTTTAAAGTTATTGAGACATTTCAAGTCTCTCCCTGCCTCCTTCTTGCCTGCCTTTCTTGCCCTGGGTAGGAGGTTCCTGCCGCAAATTTTCCCCCTCTGCACACTCTTGCGCTCTGGCCCGCAGACCTTGCAACTCCATCCCCCAGCAAGGGCTTTCGGCTTCCCGTGTGTCCCCTAACCCACGCGCTCTTCTCCTTTCCTCCCAGCCATCCCGGTCTGGCTTTCCTCCCTGCCCATTCCCCAGCCTCTTCGCGCTCTGACGCTCGCCGAGTTGGGACTCCGGGTGACTAACTTCTCCCGGCCACCGGCGGAGCGGCTGGGCAGCCCAAGAGCCGAGGGCGCTTCCTGGCGCACTGTTGTGCCCCCGGGCAAGGCCGCCCACCGCCTGGGAACTCCGCGGCTTTGTGTGCGCACCGCGGGCTCGCCCCTTTCTCAAGCGCGCCTTTGGTCAGTGCCCACAATCTGTCACTTAATCCTGGCCCACTGGAACTTCCTTTGCTTTAAAAAGGTAGGGAGGGGAAGAGTTAACTCCTGGAGGGAATTCCGCTCATTTTTTTTTTTTTTTTTTCCCAAAAGGTTTCATGCTCTTTTGTGCTCACACTTCCTGCTTAAATGATAATTAAGTGATAAATACCCATATCAGTTTTTATCCCCCGTAGAACAACCATTCATTGCCATAGGCTTTGACCTACCATCATTTTCAGAAATCCCTTTTAGGAGAAAAAGAATACTTTTGCAGGGAGGAAGGTGGGTGCTTATTGGGAAGCGGGTGGCTTTGCCAACGGCTACTCATTTGCTCCATCCTCTTTGTTTCCTTTAATTATCAATTCTAAGAAGGAAGAAGGAAAACGCCACGACCTTCTAACCAATACCTACCTGGTAATGGTTAGAAGGTCTAGCACTGTAGGGGCAAGAGCGCCCCCTCCAATCATTCTTCTGTCTAATTAATGCATCAGTGAAAAAGTGAATCCAGTGTAATTAGCACGTTCCCATCTTTTCTCTACGTTTAACTTTGATGGTGCAGAGGATAGTAAGGCCGGCGCCTCCGTGGTCCCCAGGTAGATCATTTTCTTGAGGAGGGAACCAGGAGGGTCCAGGCCTAGCTTGAGGTCCTCAGAGTAGTGGCAAACATCTGGAAGGAATTCCAGAATTGTCCAGCAACAACTCCCATTGCCCTGTGTCTAGAGCACTCTCTGGAGTCATCTGAGAGACGCAGTGAAACGTGTCCTGACATCTCGTTCTCGTTTATAAATTAAGTGATCACTGGGGCCCCAGGGACACCCAAGAGCCCCTGATGGATTCTGAAATAATACATCAGGACCTGGGAGGAAGTTGCCATTGCCTTTTAATTCCACAGCGCCTCAGTGGTGGAATGAGGTGGTTAGTTGTTTCAGGTCCATACCACCAACTGACTGGGTCGGGTGGAAAGGAGGAGAATCTAGGTTACAGCAATCTTCTCTATGCCCCCAATGGTCTTGGAGTCTTATGTTGACGATTCTCTCTCCAGTTGTCATTGCCTTGTGCTTGAAGATAGCAATTTTTTTTTTTTTTTACCAGTTCCAGTGAAAATAAAGTCCAATATTTGGCACTAAATGGCATCTCTAAAACAACTTTGATTCAGTGAATTTAACCATTTCCTCATGTTCATCTCAAAAGATCATTTCAATAGAGAGGCTTTTTAGGTGACAGTGGCTTAAATTTATTAATTATAATTCTTTTCATTCACAGACAGATTTCTTATTTGGAATTTAAGGAAATTCCAACTGAATTTTCTTCTTAATGAAACTTTTCTGCTTCTTTAAAAACACTGTGTGCTTCTCACTTGGATCCTACATGTAAATTTTATGCCTTTAAATTTAATTTTATAATGCCATTTGTACTCAGGTAATTCAAATATTGAGAAATACATTGAAGAACAGGATAGAAAGAAATAACATCCCAAATGTGAACATCAAGTACTAAATATTTATTAGAACCACATATTCAAAAGGAAATTAAATGATAGAGCTTAAAATATGAGTAGATTCTTATATACTCAGAAAATTTCCACTTAGATTTAGTTTTTTTTTTTCTGAGAAAGTAACCTGGACACTTTGGAAAGTTCATTTGGTAATATTTTTAAAATATTATGCTAATGGATTAGGGTAAGCTATGTTCCAGGAAAAAAAGAAATAATGTCTGTCAGTCCAAGGAAGTACTTTGCACTGGATGAAAGTAGCTAAAGTTTTATTTTTACAGCAGAAAGACTAAGTATATTAGTAATCATGTTTAGGTCGACTAATTGCTACTTCATTAATCTAAGTAACAGTTTTATTTGTGCATATTTAATGAGAACTTTCCACTGCATTTATAGAGTGTATAGTCACAAATACAATTGATACATACTTTTACATTTCCCAAAAGGAAGATAGACTTTCTACTCCAGAATTTTACAAGTTGGAAGTTATCTTGAAGATCATCTAGAACAACTTCTTCCCTCTGACAATTAGAAGGACCTAGAAGCTGAAGTGCCTACCTGTGGACAAAAAGCCCACTGGTGGCAGAATCTCCTGAAACTGAAATCGTCCAGCTTCTAATTTGGCGCTCAATCTACCAGACCTTTTAAAATCTGTCCAGTTTACCAAATATCTGTCAAGGCCTTACTGCCAAGTGCTTTGTGAGGCTCTCTAGGAGCATGTGAAAATGAATAAATTATGATTAGTGTTCTCAAGGAACTTACAGTTCAGAGATGGAGCCAATTGTACCAATAGATACTTGGAATACAAACTGGAAAATCGGAACATGGAGAAAAAGCAAGAGAATAACTCTTGCAGGTGCTGTGAGCCCTGTATTTCCAGTACGGCTTCACTCTATAGGATTTGTATATCCTTATAAGTAGTATTTTTTCAAATTTCCATTTTGCTAAAGTGTCATTTCCTTCCCCCACCCCAAACTATGATTTTAATGGTAAGAGTGAGGAAATATCTGACAGTAAAATATTCCCTTCCAGCCAAACACCTGTTCTATACCTCCCATGTAGAAGAATCACAGTCTGTCTGTGTTTTCCTTTCCCACATCAAGATCCCTACCCTGGGCCATGCTGCCTTTGGAGACTTTTTAGTACCATTTCCCTTGGCAGCAGGATGCATGGATTCTCTGTGTAGGAACTGCTCCACTACTGCATGAGGCCATTTATGAATGCCTTAAAGGCTCTGGGGGAGCTTTTTCCTCTTGTGCCACTGAGCTTTGCAAATTCTACTTCTTTGGGAGCAGAGAAAGGAGGAGTGTATTTGCTATTCTAGCTTTGATATGATTCCTGAGTTTTTAGAGGGTGAAACTACACCTGAACAGTCCTTCCCTCCTTTTGGAGCACTTTCTCTCCCTCTCCATTTCCTCTTATATCCCACAATGGTGGAACATGCATCTTGATGCATCAGTGCATACACACAATGTCATGAACGTTAGCACACATAACACATGTCAGCGTGCATACGCCTCACACATACTTACCCTAACTCATGTTCCCCTGTAGGCTACACTGATGGGTGAATAGAAAGTCCTAATCAGAGCTTGGATAATAGGACAGGGGATTAGACCATCAGCCCCCTCCCCCCTCCAAAAAAGAAACTTTCTTGAGACCTGCATTGCAGAGATTTTTGTTTTTCAGGAAAGCTTACTGTACATGACAAAACTCCATACTATTTTCTCTATCTGATTAGGACATATAGATAACATAGGCTTTGGAATCATTTTTACTTAATATTATAAAAATAAAATTTTGGAAAAAGTAGATTTTCATTTTTCTTATACACAGAAATTTTATACTGCATAAAAGTCTTCAAATGAATAATGTACACATGTATTATTTAAGACATACAGGTGTTATCTGTAAAGTAATACTGACAAGTCACTTTTTATGCTGACCAGCTGTGAAATGTTGTTTTAGCTTTTTGCACACAATTATGCACATA